GGGCTGCAACCACCTCTCACAGCTTACCGCAGCTCTTTTTCATGCGAAGGTTGGAGCAGTGGCCGCAGGCCTTCTTGCGGCAGTTCGTCGCACGCACCGGCAGGCGGGCGTAGCAGCGGCGGCACACTTTCTTCTCCCAGTTGTACTTCTTCGCCAGGGCCTCCAGCGTCGGCTCCATCACACCGCCACGCAGGCGCAGCACCAGGTGGAGCGTCGACTCCTTCTGGATGTTGTAGTCCGCGAGCGTGCGGCCCTCCTCCAGCTGCTTCCCGGCAAAGATCAGACGCTGCTGATCCGGTGGAATGCCCTCCTTGTCCTGGATCTTCGCCTTCACGTTCTCGATGGTGTCGCTTGCCTCCACCTCGAGGGCAATCGTCTTGCCGGTCAGCGTCTTCACAAAGATTTGCATTGTGCCACGTTCCTAGCCGCACGGCAGAGGCGGACGGGAAAACAAACAAAGTAAATAAACAAAAGAGACGGAGGCACAAGAGAAATTTCAGGGAATTGTACTGTCAGTGAGAGGCAATACTTTTTTTTCCCTCTCCATTGACACATAAAGCGTATATGTCAGTGCGTGTGTGTGTGTGTGTGTGTGTTTGTCAATCTGTCAAGGAAGGAAAAAAAAAGAAAGACAAAATAAACGCATCAGTAATACCACAATATCGCAGCTCCTTCAAAGAAGCCCTCAAAAAAACACCTACATATTATATATATATATATATATTATATTGCATGGCCCTTCGATGGGCACCCACATTACGTCTAGGGAAAGAGGGGAGATACAAGCGAGACCGAAAATCTATGTGTCACTGTCACGCTGTTCCCTTCCTCTCCCCTCTTTGCCGTCACTCCTATCCTATATGTTGTTTACACGGGAGGTCAACTCTCTCACAAACCGGTTGTAGTCGATTTTTTCTTCTACTTCATCCGACTCAGCAAGGTAGAGAAGCTCCTCCAACTCCTCCGGCGGCGACCGCTCCCCGAAGGTGGCAAAGAGCTCTGTGAATTGCTTCCGCGTGACAAACCCGGTTTGCTGCTTGTCGTAGTAGTGGAAAGCGGAACGGAGCTCTTCCCCCATCGTGTCGTCCACCTCCCGTGTCATCAGCAAAATAAAATCACTGAAGTTCAGCTCACCCGCATTCTGCGGATCACTCTGCCCTATCACCCGGAGAACATCCTGAAACTCCTCTGCTGTCAGATGCATGCCAACGTTCGTCATGGTTTCATGGATGAGATTCGCTGGAATGATGCGCCTTTTCTGGCCGCCGCCCAACTGATGAAAGCCCTCCGCCAGCTCTGAAATGACGTTGTGTGAGACCGGGCCACGGTAAAGCGGACGGTTCATGACACGATGCTCCTGCGCCGCTCCTGTGGTAGGGCTCTGCGGGTTATTTTTCCGCCGCCCAGTGGGTGATTTTACCTCGCCCTTAGAAAATACATGCGCCCCCGCCGGACCACGTGTCTCCATGTGATACAACACAGCCACCGCACGTTCGTCAACCGCACACGCGCGACAACAACACGTATGCGCACGACAAAAAAAAAGAGGCCAAAACCACCTCGCCGGAACGAAGAAAAGTGCCCTTGCCAACACCACCAGTTGCGGCGAGTGCAGAAAGAAACGAAAAAAAAAAAGAAAAAAAGCAGATGTAACAACGGCAGCAGTATCATGACGGCAATGGGAGAAAACGTCCATGCAGAAAGCGGGAGACGACCCCCTCACGCATTCCATTGATACATCAATGCATCCACATACACACACACATCAGGGCGGTAAACAAGTAGACATCACTATATAAAAGTAGGGAGAAAAAGAAAGAAAGAGGGAGACGCAGAGGGGGCTACGTACGGCGTAAATGCTCCATCCCTTTCCCCACCCCCTCCCCCTCCCCCTTCCCAACGAAACAAAGAAAAAAAGGAGGAGGTGGAACACGCAGAAAATATCAAAAGACGAGTGAAAAAAACTCCCCTGCTCCCGCACAAACACACATCACCCTCCCTCTCCCAAGGCATGTGCGTGTATTTGGTGTCTCCTAGCTCCCTTTCTGCACCGCGCCGCCCTTTCTTTCTCCCCCTCTGGCTCCTATTTGCCGCCGTTTACCTCCCACCCCCCGTGTTTGCCTTTCCGCCGCAGATGATCCTCCACTCTCGCGACACACGCACATGCGCCCCTTGTACGCCCCTTCGCTCTCGTTCCCTCTCTCGCCTTCCGCTGCACCGTTCCTCTCTCCACTTACTGGTGGCTTACAATGAAGACACCGGCAGGCGTGTGAGTGCTGCATCATTGCAGCACACAGAGAGAGAAAAAGAGAAACAAGAGATCACAAAAACAAAATGCATATTGATCGGTAGGAGCACATATAGACTGAGCCCTAAAGGAAGCCTTAACAAAAAAAAAGGCCACACACGTATGAGCAAGAGCGAGGAACGCACAAAAGAAAATGTGGCAAAAATCAAAAAACAAAAACAAAACAATCAACGTAGAAACAATTCATACATCCCTAAGAAGATATCTATTCCAGTGTTCGCCAGCCGCCCCCTGGAGCTCCTTTTCCGCTTCGCTGCTGCTGTTGGCTGAACACCACCACCCCTTGCAAGACCCCTGCGCCACGCTCACTTGCTCATCATCATCTTCACAAACTCCTCGTAGTTGATCTGGCCGTCGCCGTCCACGTCCGCCTCGCGGATCATCTCGTCCACCTCCTCGTCCGTCAGCTTCTCGCCGAGGTTCGTCATGACGTGGCGCAGCTCAGCAGCAGAGATGAAGCCGTTGCCGTCCTTGTCAAACACGCGGAACGCCTCCTTGATCTCCTCCTCCGAGTCCGAGTCCTGCATCTTGCGTGCCATCAGCGTAAGGAACTCAGGGAAGTCAATGGTGCCGCTGCCGTCCTGGTCCACCTCGTTGATCATGTCCTGCAGCTCCGCCTCCGTCGGGTTCTGGCCCAGCGAACGCATCACCGTGCCGAGCTCCTTCGTCGTGATGGTGCCATCGCCGTCCTTGTCAAAAAGCGAGAAGGCTTCCTT